ACCATCACTCCAATGCATATTTATTTGCGATACACCTGTATTTAAATAATCAACAACAACAATTTCATTTTCTTTATTAATTATGTAATCAACATCAAGTTGTAATTCATAAAGGGCTCGTCTTGCACTTTGTACCCATTTTGGTAGTTTAAAAAAAATATAAGATCGACGAAATTCAGGAAATTCAATTAATTGTTTATCATTTAATTTTTCACTGATAAAATGAACAGCATCAACTAAAATATACAAGACATTTAAATTCAATTTCTTTAGTTTATTAGAGTTTATTTGTAGTTTGATAACGACGTACATAACAAGATAATCTAGATTTTACTGTTATGTGTGATATATTAATAAGAAAATAATAGATAGAAATCAAATAACAAAAGGATATGATTTTGGATTTCGATAAGAAGATCTTATGCCTATACTTTAAGTTTGCACAATAAATTATGCTCGAAATTCTGTATGATTAAAAATTCTATAATCTTACAAAAATTTTCTGAAAATTTTTTTTAAGATTATTTCTTATTTCATAATTCTTTTTAAATATAGTTCACATTCACCAAACTAGCATTTAAACTCGAAAATGTCTACATCAAATACAATAAATAATCACTATAACATTATTTATGAACGATTATTCGCATTAAAATCATGGACAAATGAACAAAAGAGACGCTTAGTAGAAATTATTGCCGATTGGACAAATAAATATGAACATTCAATGCCAGCACAATTAAACAATAATCTGAAATGCTTACGAGAACTTATTACACATAAAGTTGTTATCGCACCATTACTACCAATAGAAACTATTTTTAAAGTTATACAATCAGATCATATTCCAGCTGAATTATGGTTCGATTGTCTGATGAATGTAGTTGAAGTATCATCAGATAATAATAATAAAAACAAGATCTTATTCGATTTTACACCAGTAAGAATTCCTACATCATCTAATATGTTGAATTCATATTTATCTGAGCAAGGATCACAAAATGATGAGTAAGAGATTTTTTTTTATTTCACGCTAAAGAAAAAACAATGAAACATTCATGTTAATTTTTCATTGGATATTGTAGTATATTGGATCAATCATCAATTAAAGATACTACTTTAACAGAACAATTTTTTTCACTTGCTTCATCACTAACTATGTCAACAAGTACATGGCATAAACTTCTTAGCGAAGAATCATTAGAAGAATATCAAACAAGATTACTTACTAATCTTGAAGAATTATATCAACTTAAATGGGATAAATTATCTGTAGAATCGCTTAGAAATACATTTACTAATTCTGAAAATTTTAGTAATCTTTCATCGATTAAAAAAGCTTTATTTGTGATTGAAACTATAGTTGTAAATCGAATCTCAATAAAATCACATATAGAACGTATTATAAATAATATAACTAAAAGTTCTCCAAATAGATGGATGAATGAATTAAATAAAATTGTTAATGAACAAAATAAAAGTAAATCATTAAAAAAATTACTTGAAGAATTAGGTGAAGTAAATTCATTCATAAATCTTGATAATTTGGAACAACAATATAAAAAAGTAATGAAATATTATGAAAAAGAAACAATACGAATGACATCATTTGATATTCAAACTCAACAAAATTATATTGATGAATATTATAAAATAGCTGTTATTATTCAAGCTGTTTATATATTTAAACAAGTACGACCAAGAGATATTCAAATTTTATCACTTCTTCTTTTCATTGAAAATGAACGTAAAAAACGAGGACGATTAGCTCAAATACGTACAGGTGAAGGCAAATCAATTATTGTAGCAATGTGTAAGAGAAAAAAAACACAGAATTCTTTTTTTTTTATACATTCTATTTCTTTTAGTGGCTGTCTATTTATCATTAGAATCATCAAAAAAATATGTTGATATTATAACAACATCAGAAATTCTTGCTCAACGTGATACTCAAGAATTTGCATCTTTCTATCAAATGTTTAATCTTACTGTTGGACATAATTGTCATGATCCTTCTGAAAATTCAAACTATAATTTTGATATTATTTATGGTACAGTAACACAATTTGCTGGTGATTTACTTCGTACTGAATTTTATTTAAATAAAGAAGTACGTGGTGATCGACCTTATTCAACAGTTATTGTTGATGAAGTTGATAGTATGTTTATTGATCAACGTGAACATTTTACACAATTAGCATCATTAACACCTGGTTATAAATCATTAAATATTATATTAAAATTTATTTTTGTATTTTTTAAAAAATATAATATTACTGAAAATAATGAATTTATTATAAAACAAGAAAATGGTTTTGTTAAAGGTAAAATAAAATGTGCTGATTTCAGTACATATTATAATATAACAAATAGAAATTAAGTAATAAAAACAAATTCGAGAAAAGAAAATGATAGAATTCTTTTGTTTTTATTACAATCTTTTATCTATTTCTCAATATTCCAGACCTAATATGTTCTTATTGAGATTCAAACAAACATAGAAAATGTCCTACATCTACAATCGACAAATATAGCATAGAAAAACTACATATTACAGTTAGACAACTGAATTTGATATTCATATAAAGACGTTGTTCGAAGTTATGTTCTAATTATAATAATAAATCATCTTAAAAAAAAATTTCAGAAAATTTTTGTAAGATTATAGA